TATATATATATATATAATCTCTCACTTTGGCCTTTGCAAGCTGGAGCAGAGGTCGGCAAAATCAATCTGGAAATGCGCAACTTAAAGTACTCCAGTGTCTCACAATGAGTCTGGTTTATGTTCAGTGGAGGTGGAGACCACTGCAGGAGGGTGGGACTTTATCTATCTAAGGCGGTGAGGCAACCAATTGGGGTGAAAGTAAAAAAAAAGAAAAAAAAGATATGTCATGCAAAAAATTATAGGAATAAATGGATATGGTTTTTAACATTACAGATGAAAGTAGGGAAAAAAAGAAAAAGCATATTACTATGTAACCTTTGCACAAATAAAGATAACTCCTTTTTATAAATGCTCCATGCTCTTGTCAAATGCAAAACTCATTGCAAGCACTGGGTGTGTCTACAGTGTAATGAAAGTTTTAAAAACTGTCGTAGTACTCACATTAAAATGTGCAACGTTATCTCACATTATACCAGAAATTTAAATAAAACACAGTTAATATTTATCAATAATCTATCACCCATTAAACAACCCCTATCCAAAAACCAAAACACTTTGTTACATTTGAAGCGCTTGAAGATAAAAATTTAAACACAACTTGCCTTCAGATGTTGGCTTATTACCTACATATGTGCTTACAGAGATAAAAGCAATTTTGACCAGTTAAGCCTGCAAATTGTGATGATGATGATGGGAGGACTGGCAAAGTTATACAACAAACAATTCAAAACCATAATAAAGACCTATTGAGAACTTTTTTCCAGTGGCGTATAGAGGTTTGTGTATGTTTATTTATATTATTTTATATTATATATATTATCTTTTTGAAGTGTCTTTAATTTTAACCTGTGATATTGGCAAGTTATCTTCACATTTGAGAATTATTATAGGCAACAGCACAGGCAAAAGCATCAGTAGTGCAAAATAACAGCTATCAGAAGACTTACCTGTGGCAAAGGTTCTGCTTTCTTGCTGTCCATTCCTCCGACTATGATAATGTTAGGCATCAACGGACGTGGGAATTCAAAGGCAAAGTCAGAATGCACAAACCAGAGAGCTGCACGGCTCATGATCTTCACCATTGATGTTTTTCTCTGAAGTACTTGTGAGGCGAGCTCATCTGCACGAGCAAACATACGCTCACAAGCCATGGGCTGAAGAAGAGTCCTTACCAGGTTCACACTTCTTTGCCAAAGATTCATGCGGTCAGTAAAATGAGTAAAACCTTGTGGAACATAAGAAGCTGGAGCTGGGCATTGACTGGCAAGAGCGTCAGCACCACAAGGATGGCTTGTTTGCATATAAATGGCTGGAATTGAGAGAAATTCACCAACAATAGGTCCAGTAGGCTCAAATGGGTCTGTGAGAATCGCATCAAAGTTGTACTCGTGCAGCTTCTTCATTAAGTCCTTGTTGGAGAGTAAACCCTCCACATTCCGGGTTATAAGAACATTCAGCAGATCCATAGTATTGATGAAATTCTGAAGCCTGGCCAGATCTGTAGATACATCTACACTTGTCAGAGTAGTAACACCTGCATTCACTTGCTCCTGTAGCTGGGCCTTGGTGTAGTTCACTGGATATGTCAGAGTGGTGGTATGCTGTGATGGACCCATGCTCAAACTCGCTTCTGGGATGACGACCACCACCTGGTTTCCTCTACGGCCGAGCTCCTCCACCAAAGGCTTCATGCCTGTCCAGTGGCTGCCATCTGAAGGAACTACTAATAGCTTCCCAGCCTCTGCTGATCCCAGGCAAAAAAGACACAAGAACAATACAGAAGCAGCCATTCTATGATTCATAATCAGCAATAATTATAAGCATGTATGCTGGTAGTATTGCTTGTCTTGAAAGTCTGCACCCCCGGCAGAGGCTTTTATCCTAATAGGGAAGTTTCAACACCCAATCAAAGGTTGGGCCTGAAAAGATCACAATCTTCATTCTTCAGCAGCAAAGCATGCCCTTAGTAGCAGAGTGAGAAAAGTATCCAGATCTCATAAGTGAATAAAGCGGAGTGATATTAAGCAAAGATGCAGCTGTCTGCATTGATGTAGACTTCCTAAATTCAAGAAGATTATAAAGGCAAACCTTTTTTTTTTTTTTTTAGATAACATGCTCTGGTGAATCATTCACAGCAAGACCAGAACATGCTGATTCTCTTCACATTTGACAGGCACCAGCAGCAAAATCAGCAGAAGTGGCAAAATGTTTTGTGACTAATGCAATGAAATGTTAACATTTTAAATTGAGCCTTTTTGGTGCATCTGTATGCATTCTTTAAAAACTTTTTTCATGTAGATTTTATAGAAATTGTATGTTGAGATAGACTCTACACTGAGTTTGGTCCTTGCTTAGTTAGTATGCTTATTATACTATTTTTAAAACTTTATCACACCAATTTATTCCTTTTCTCACCTAATTTTCATCCTCACAGTCTGCACAATAATCAATAAGTTTTTTTTTCTTTTTATATTTAACATAAAATACAGAGGGAAGACTTTGAGCTGATATGAGTACTCTAGTAAACTCTAACAAACGAAGCACATCAACCAAGCACATTTTTGCAAACTACATCGACCAGTTAGGTTACTTATTATCTCTTATGAAATGCACATGGCCATGTTTGCACTGAAGTGGGGACCCAAACTATGTGAAATGTTTTGGAATATGGTTATCTGACAAAAAGGCATGTTCTCTTCATGCTCTGATAGCACCGGTATGATACTAGAAATAACATGCTGAAAAGAAAAACTTAATCCTATACTGGCTGTTTATTAAATGTATGTGATTAAAGCATCCACTAAGTGAAGTAATGTAAATGTAGTTGACATCTGGTGTTTTTTACAGTACATAGTCAGGACGCTGAGAAATAGTGACTAAACAGGTTTCTTTAAAAACTTCCAAAGTTAGATGAGAAATTGTCCACTGTCTGCTTGGTTGCCAAACACAATTCAATGTAGAAACATTTAATACTTTCACTCAAGTAAATTTTTGGTGTAGCGTCTCGACCAATCTGACACACTAATTTTTATTTGATTTAACAAATCAATTATTCATTAGATTAACAAATCGTCACAGTCCCCTCACTCAATAAACTGGATGCCAGGATTTCTGCTGAACACCATCCCCCCCTTGGTCACCATGACAACTAATCATGATATCACTGGTTTTATGACCCCCCC